TCAGAATCATGGTGGTCATCCGCCCACTTCATGAATAGAATGGCTATGGAAATTCCACTGCTGTTAAAGCTATCACTTTGCAGCACCACTTGATGCTGTGATCATTCTTGCCTCTTGAAAATGCTCTTGGCTTCGTGTCCACAGCTTTAGTTATCATGATGTCCTAAAAACTTTCAAATGTTTTTCTCCAGCCCAGTCCTCTCTTCTGAGCTCCAGCCCTTTATATCCAACTGCTTATTTGACTCTCCACCCATCCAAATCTAATTTATAGTCTTCCCTTGTGTTCTCCACCTTAGTGGGTGGTACCTTCATTCCTCTGGTTTCTCAAGCAACCAGGATTTTTTCTTAATACTTTGCCCTCCCCTCATCCCTCATTATCAATTCTATCAATTTTGCTGTCTAAATATCTCCGAAATCCATCCATTTGTCTCCATTTTGCTTCCACCATAGCGGCCCAAGCTATCCTTCTCTCCAGCCTATAATACTGTCTGCTTTTGTACACTGTACCTGGGATGTTCTTATGAAAAATGCTTATCTGATCGTGTCACCCCCTCACTTAAATCTCATTGCTTTTAGGATTAAGATCTAAATCTTTAACGGGTTTACAAGGCATTACATATTCTGCTTCTCCTTTGCCTTTCCCGTCGTCTTGCACCACTTTCCCCCTTGTGCTCTCTGTACTGGGCTCCATTCAGTTCTGGGAACTTGATATGCTTCCTCCTGCTTCAGGACCTTTGTGCGTGCTGCTCCATATTCTAGAACTGTGCTGCATAATACCATAGCTGCTAGTCACATGTGGCTATTTAAATAAAATTAAGAATTGAGTTCCTCAGTTCCACTAACTACATTTTAAGTGCTCACTAGGTACATGTGGCAAGTGACTGACTACCATATTGGACAGTGAAGATATAGAACACTTCCATTTTCACTCAGAGTTCTCTTGGACAACTCTGTCCTAGAATATTCTTCATCACCTTCCACACCTTTCCTCCTGTGTGACTTCCTCAGGGAAGTCCTCCGTGTCTTCTGCCTTAAGTTCCTAGTAGAGTCAATTTTCTTTGTATCTAAGTCCACCAGCCAAAGACAACCATGAACACTTCTGTGGTCAAAGTTACATTTCTTTAGCCTGCTTCAACAGGGAACCCTTAGCAACAACTCAGTAAGAGAGTTGGGAGGAGATCTTTATAGTGTTAGGGCTTTTACTGGATGAGTCTAAGTAGGGATTATGGAAGTGGCAACCAGCTCTGGATTGGATATGTCAAGATGTTGGGGCAATCTGGAAACTGGGTAATCACTGTTCAGGAGATGTGATGAACAAAGCAGGATTTAGGATGTCTTTACTAAGAAACCAGCAATCCCTCAGAAGGGGGGTTGTTATTCACATTTGTAGCTGTGTTATTGTCTCTGGTGTCCTGTTGGAAACATTGCTTAGCTTCTGGTGGCCTTGTCAGTGTGCCACTGGAAGTCCATTCTGTTAAGACCATCGAGGCTGATTGTCAGGGGGACTGATTTGCACTTTCTCAGTTGTGCTGTGCTCTCCTAGAGCTTTGTTGCTCTTCTTCACAGTGCTTGCACACAGTTTGTAAGTTTTTGAATGAATGATTATTTGATTACTGTGTTTCTCCTGCTAGACCAGAAGCTCCACGAGAGTAGGGACCTATTCTCTTTTTGTTCATTATGGTACCCATGGCACCTAGCGCAGTGCCTGATACAAAGCAGATGCTCAGCAAATATTTATTGAAAGAGTGAATGAATGAATAAATGAATAACAAGACCTAAAAAATTGGTGGCTGATGCAAGATATGGAATTGTTTAACTATATCATTTATCTTTTTGCAGTAGATTTTTAGCAGATGTCTCTTTCCTCCCACCCAAGAAAAAAACTAGAATTCTAATACTAAAAACTTAAATATAATATTCTAATGTTGCCTGATGTCTACAGTCCTTTAAGTGTAATCTATAAATTAGATGTTATCATACCTTCTTTACTATCCTTTTTCTCCATCATTAAGAAATCTATAGATACACCACATCAAATCACAGAAAGGTACAGTGTTGGCTGTCTGCCTGCCTCTTGGCGTCCTACAAAACTTGGTAACTCTAGCCAGAATGACCCAAGCATGTTGGTTCTAATTCTTTTTTTTTTTCTTTTTTTTCTTTGTGAGGAAGACTAGCCCTGAGCTAACATCCAATGCCAATCCTCTCCTTTTTTCTTGAGGAAGAGTGGCCCTGAGCTAACATCCGTGCCCATCTTCCTCTACTTTATATGGGACACTGCCACAGCATGGCTTACCAAGTGGTGTGTCGGTGCATGCTCAGGATCCAAACCTGTGAACCCCGGGCCGCCGAAGCGGAGCGCGCACACTTAACAGCTTGCGCAACCGGGCTGGCCCCTTGGTTCTAATTCTTAACGCTAAATCATTTAGGGCCATGTGACCCATCAATGTGATCAGGTTTCCTAAAGGATTGTGGTGTTTTCCAGGCAGACTATACATTTAATTTTTTATAATTATAAAGATAATGTAACAGAATAAGCATAAATTTTTAAACCTGAGGAAAAGTAATATCCATGTTGGTAACATGTAAACTATTTTTATATTTTCATAGTCCTTGTCCACATGCACTCATGTTATTGGAGTAAGATTCTTTCAGTCAGCATATAGTTGACAGTCTCTTTGAGTCTGAACGATCACAGTATGTCATACCTTTTCACGTCACCGGGGGAATTAGAACTGTAGAATTTATAAGTCCAATATGTTTTAGTAGGCTAGCATATCCCTCAGGCTGCAGAGCTCTATGGCATGGCCAATAAATTCGTTCAGGGCCTAGTTCATTAATACTGGCTCACCATGTGTTGTTATGGGTTACTGCATACTCCTTCAAAGAAGTTCTTGAAAATTCATCTTCCCTATCTCAAAGTCACTTTTTTAAATGCCTTTTTCTTCATGCCACCTTCCTACTCCAAAATTTCCTAATTCTTAATTATACTAAGTGTAAATACCTTTTCACAGATCAGCCCTGTCCAATAGAATCTTCTGCAGTGATAGAAATTTTCTTTTATGCTATCCAATATGGTAGCCACTAGCCACATATGGCAATTTAGTACTTGAAATGTGGCTGGTTGACTGAGGAACTGAATGTTTCATTTTATTTAATTCTAATCACCTTCAGCACATGTGGCTAGTGGCCACTGTAAATGTTTAGGTCCTCCTTTCATAATCAGGTCCAGCCCATGTCCTTGGCCCCATATACGCACCACGTTTGTACCCATCATTTTGTCTTGACTCATGGTGGTCCTTTCTCACTTGGATTACTTTCTCTCAATTTCTTCTATTAATCTAGGTTCTCTTTAGCTTCTCAGGGTCAGAGCAAAGTTCACAATCTCCATGAAATCTTCCTATAATTTTGCTGATCTTCCTTTCCTGGCAACACACATTCTGTGCTTTTCCAGTCAGGACACCTGAATGAATGAATGATTCAACATATGCTTTCATATCTAGTCATTTACTTTATTTTAGTTTCTTTTGTTGTTGTTGTTGTTGTTTTTCGTGTGAATTTACCCATTTCCTCGACCAATTTTTATATCTTTGAGGCCAAGATAGTGTATTATATATTTTTTGTATTTCTCTTAACACCAGTCAGATGGTGAAGCCCCAGAAAATTCCCACTGAATGTTTTGTTGATTGATTGATTGCAAAAGAAGTAAAAATATGTATCTTTGATTCTCTGTCATGATTATTGAGCCAGTCAACAAGTATTTGTAAAACGTCCCTGGGGTGCATTTGGGTCAACTTTGAAGGGCAAATCATTTTCTTGGATACAAGGAATTTATAAGACTGAATAAAAAGGAAGATCATATGTATGTACACATAAACTGTGATGTAAGAGTACACTGAATTCTAGAGATTGTGGTTAGGGGTGAAGAAAGTTTGGAGAGTATCTGTGAGTAACCCTTTCCTGAGAAGGAAACCTTTGAACTGCTGGTCAAAGAATGGAAGTTTATAGCAGAGAAACAAGAGGCAGGAAAGTTGTTTTTCATAAACAGACACTAGAAGAAAGGTCACAGTGGAAGGATCAGCTGTGTCTGGTCCACCAAATGCTTTTCATCAGTATTCTATTATATTCACTTTAGGATCAAGACATAGGGCTTTTGTGCATCTACTTTGGAAAAGGTTCTAAAATATAGCGAAGTGGATCCTACTTGCACTAAATGTACAACAACTGAACATCTCTAGACCCACGCTTCTCCACGTGTAATACTAAGACTTAGAGTTTCCCCCCAAAACTTACTCTTAGAATATTGTGATAATGCAGATCTCAGAGAAGGATGCTGGATATGGTCAAGTGATTACTGCCTAATAGAATTTAATACACGTATATAGAGCTCACTGTGTACTGGGAACTGTTCTTAGTACTTCACTTCTAGTAACACATTGAATCCTTCTAATCACTATAAGTAGGCATTCTACAGATGGAGAACATATGGCACTAGCCTCAGTTTACACAGGCAGCAGGTAAAAGAGCTAGAACTTGACCCTAGAAAGTCTTGCTCAAGAAACTATGCTCCTAACCACTCTACTGCTTTATGCTATGCTATGTGGCCTCTCCGTAGTTAGTGTTCTATTAACTCAGAATTTGTGCTTTGGAATAGTGTTGGAGATAATAGAAAATGTAAAAAAAGTGTTTTATATGTTTGAGGAAACAATTTCCAGTACCTGCAAACACTTTAGGAAACCTGCAGACATGTGAATGCGGACATGTGAATAATATACAAAGCACAAATGCATTTTCTGTCGAGTGTAATTCTCAGTGTGCAGGTGCTATGTGAGTTCTGTGCACAAGTGGCAGCTATTTTCACTATAGTTGAAAACATAATACCAAAAATTATATGATTTTCTTTTCTAAAGCATAAAATAGTTTGGATATATTTGTCACTTTTTTTTTTTTGGCATAATGACTCATCAATTTGTTTTAATTTTGATGATTTTTAAATTTTGCAGAAATTTCGGAGTGCTTCAGTTGGCGCTGAGGAGTACATGTATGACCAGACATCAAGGTAGGTCACCAGGAGATGCCCCTAGAAACGGATGAACTAATAACCCTTTAAATGTATCCCCAAGTTATACTTTTAAACCTTTAAAAGAAAATTCTTTTCTCTACACAATGACTTCCAAATTACTATTTCTAGTCTTGACCAATTTTCTGAGGCCTGTATTCTTTCTTTGTCCTGTTGGCAAGACCTCCCTTCTTAGGTGCTCCTCTGAACCTCAAACACATGGCCTCCAACACAACATGTGCATATGGAACTCTTTATCTTTGTTTTTCCTCTTCTTTCCTTCCTTCTCTATTTCTTTCACATCTGGTCTTCTGCTTTTATTTCCTATTGTGGCTAATGATGCAACCATCCTCCTAGCCACCCCCTCTAGAGGTGTAAGGGTCTTCCTGCCTTCTTGCTACACTTTCATAGCACTTGCCAAGTGCTGAATGTTCTAGTCTACCTGTCCTGTCCCTTCCAACCTACTCTTGTTCATGTTCTCCTGAACTATTGTGATATAACTGATCTCTCTGCCAACGCTTTCCTTTCTCTTCCATTCCACTTTGCACATATCTAGCTACCAGCTGTCATACACTCTGGTGCCTTCCATGTACCAGCAATGTGATAGGGATTGGAGATAAGATATAACCTCTCCTTACAAGAGGCCTATCAACTTTTGGAGGAGACAAATGTGGTGATGGACAAATTGCAATACATTTGCTAAATGATAAGTCCTGCTATGGAGATATATAAACAGAAAGCTGAGAGGACTACAGGCCTGGGTGTGTGTGGAGGTGTGTGTGTGTTGGGGGGGCAGGGGCCAGGCAAAGCTTCACAGGAAGTGGCATTTGAGCTGGATCTTGAAAGATTATCAGCAGACGTTTTCCAGGGAAAGAAGGATGATTAAGGTGATTAAGAAGGGATGATTACCCCTTCCAGATAGAGGGGCCTGATGTTCAAAGCTCTTGGTCGTAGGCATGCCTGAAGACAGGAGAGAATGGCAAGAAATGAATTGATCTCTCCCATTTACAAAACTTAGTGATTTCACCATTTCAGGCAGAATTAAGCACAAATTCCTTATGAAGGCAGTCGGGGCCCTCCATGTGCAAGTCCCTTTTCACTTGAAACCTTGTCTTCCACTGTATTTCTTGCCCCTTTGCTTGTACATGTATGGCTCTCTTTGATTCTCTCTGTTCCACTCGAAATCCTCCTGATCGTTAAGGGTCTTGCTCCAACCTGGATGATGGCTCCCAGTCATCCTCCCCAGATCACGCTAGTCAAAATCTGGGTGTGTAGTGGTGGTGAGGGGGAGAGGAGAGGTGGAGAAGATAGAGTTCCAAATTGCCTTCTAAAATGTGGAAATACATATGTAGTTTGCATGCTCTAAATCCAGATCACCAAGTAATCAGCTATCAGGCCAGTGAAGAGAGCATTGATCTATCAGTCACTTGTCCTGGTTTCTCTTTCTGCTGCTGTCATTGTCCACTGGAGTGAGCAAGTTTCTCAGCCTCTCTTCAGCTGTGAAATGAGGAAAGTGGTTCTTATCCTGTGATAGGTGTGGGGGACATGAACCCCCTGAAATTATATTTAAAATCATTTATCTTCATAGGTGCTTTTCTCTGGGAGGGGGTTCATAGCTTTCTTCATGTTTTTTAAGCAGTCTGTGCCCTAGACAAGTTGCAAGCTACTGGTCTAGGCGATTCCTAATATCCTGTCTAGGTCTCAAATTTTATGATTCAATGATTATATTGAAATTGCTTTTTCCAGGCAAAATGACAATGAAATTGGTTCTGTCTTGAATGATTTATTTCCCACCTTGTTCTAAGACACGTATTCTGGAATTTGCTTAGTTTATCAGCTTAAGCCTAAGATTTTTATCATGTAAGAGTAATGTTATTTTGCCCTTCAAATTTCTTTTTCACTGTAAAATTTAAAAAAAATCAAACATTGCAGAAATATTTAACAGAAAGCAAGAGTCCCCTGTAAACTTGAAAGTAGACCATTTTAAGAGGCAAACTTGGAGAGTCAGTTTTGCCCACAGCCCTTCAAAGACTATGAAATTAAAGAGCTAAAAAAAATAGATAGATCCAGTAAAGAGCTTCTGATAATTCAGAAAACACACAAAGCATTTGTTACTGGGTCATCACTGTGTGCCATCCTGTAGTGTAGCAGAAATAAATATTTCTGAATGAACATGTTAAAAAAGATTGTGGTTCTTCCTTGCTACTCATCTTAAACAATGGATATAGTCTTCAAAGTTGGGAAAATAAATGTTTTTATTTTATAAATTAAATCATATTTTAAAAATATTAGGGAAATTATTTAGAGCAGGGATCTGGAAACTTTTCTGCAACTAGGTAGATAGTAAATATTTTAGGTTTGGCATGCCATGCAGTCTCTGTCACAACTACTCAGCCCTGCCATTGTAGAGTAGCAGCAGCCATAGACAAGATATCAATGAATGAGCATAGCCATGTTCCAATAAAACTTTATTTACAAAAACAGGCAGCAAGCTGAATTTGGCCCATGCACCATTGTTTGCAAACCCCTGACTTAGAGCAGCAATGTTGTTGTGAGTTCTTTTGCAGGCTTAAAAAACAAAAAAAAAAAACAACAACAGAATCCTCCCAGTTATGGAACTAGATTCTCAGTAATGAATGTTTGAATTTTAGATTTTCAGATTTTGAAAGGTTTTAAAGTGGGATATAGCTATTTGCAACATCTTGGTTAGACAAAAAGAAGATCAGATATGTATATGAATCAAACAAAAGCATTCACACCTTTGGTTTGTTGCTAGGATAAAAGTGGCAAATTCTATCAATTCTTAAGCTTCGGGCATTGCTGATTGCCAGCTAAGACCTCACAGAGGCTCTCCTGGCGAGGCACTGCACAACTGGACAGGCCCATCGTGGACTTTCTCCCCGTCTAAACCATCTGGTTTATGGGCCACTATTAGGAATGTTGTATACATTGTACTAGCAATGACCTTTGGTCTGGTCTCATCTCTTTTGCCATATGCTGTGTTTTGTCTCTGAAATAGAGTAAATATTGGTTAATATTCATACAAAATGCTATCGATGTGAAATTGATGAGAAAGGCGGAAATGTCCAAGTGAGCCTGACCACTGTTTGCTTTCTGTTCACAGTGGCACGTTTCAGTACACCCTGGAAGCCACCAAATCTCTCCGTCAGAAGCAGGGGGAGGGCCCCATGACCTACCTCAACAAAGGACAGTTCTATGCCATAACGCTTAGCGAGACCGGAGACAACAAATGCTTCCGACACCCGATCAGCAAAGTCAGGGTAGGGGCCTCATTCCTCTAATAAAGCGCAGAGGGATCAGATGAATGCAATTGCTACCTCACAGCCCTGTGGGAAGGGCACGGAAAAGATTCCAAAAGAAATAGTTCTAGAACAAAAGTCAGAGAGTTGGGGCAAGAGAACTTATGGGCTTGTAGTTTATCATTTTAATCAGTAACCAATAAACCCCAGGGAAGGGATGTGTTTGGATGGTTGGAACATGCTTTCTGACTGTATCCAAGAAATTTCCCTGGCTTCATTCATTGCCTGTGTGTTATGGGGTTGTTGTCGTTTTCAATCCATTGATCTTAATTTTTCAAATAAGTATCTGTAAGTCAGAAATATTTGTGGGCAGGCAAGAGCCCGCTGCTGTCTTTTGTAAAGGAGGATGGAATTCATTCTGTCTCTGAGCCCTTTGCAACTTTGTTTAAAAGCCTTCTGCAGCTCAGCACTTACTCAGAAGTCAAGGGGTGAAGCAGGATATGATCCCCACCAGGAGTGACTGGCAGGAAGTTTCACATTCATGAATGTTAGCCCTATTTGTGGGAAATGGAACTGCCCTGGAAGCCTGCCAGCTTCTGGAATTCTTGCTACTGCCAAGAAGGGAGAGAATTGGTAATCCTTCTCTACTGAAAAGGAGAATTATAGCAGAGCTCTGAAAAGAGGTTGAAGGACTTTCCTGGCCTGTTGTAAAATGATTTATGTTACTGTGTGCATGGTGCCCACCCTACCTTATTTTGTCCCTAGCTAGCTCCTCCTGGTCTCTTCAGCACACTAAGAGAGAAACGCCATGCTGTGCCTAGAGTGTGCTGAGTTTACCGCACTCCAGATTTCCATGCATAGGTAGCAAATGAGGTAGACGAGAAAGAAGAGTATCCGGGCACCTGCTGGCCAACTTGCCTCTTACTAGCTTTTGGTAAAATCATGGCAATGGTGATCTCCAAATAGCTGGGTTTTCTGGTTTGTTTCAATGAGAAAGACAAGGAAGGATTGCTGCTCATTTCACCATCAAGCAGGCCTTCCTCCCTCCAAGGCTGTCCTAGTCCCAGACCAGAGTTGTAGGAGGCAGGGCAGTTGAGAGTAAGGGGAAGATGTGGAGTTGATGTCCCGCCCAAGGCTGAGCCTGTTGCAAGTAGAGAGGTGCTCAGTGTGTTGTGTGCTCGCCAGGGGAGGCAGTATGTTCCCACCCTGTGGTTAAGGCTGTGATGGAGGGATGCCATAATAATAATAATAATAATAATGATAGCAACAACAACGATGAGCCACAAAATAATGGCTAATATTTACTGAGTATATCTTCTATGTGCCAGGTACTATGTTAAACACCACACATCCGTTAACTCATTTGAAACTAACAACAGCCCTAGGAAATAGGCACTATTATTTTTATATTATTATGGAGGATGAAACTTGGCCTTTTAGAAGCTAGTAACTGGCGAGGGTTACATAGCTAAACTGTGAGGGAACCAAGATGTATCCAGGCAGTCAGACTCCTGGACCTGTTCTCTTAACCACTAAGGTGCTTTGTGTTGAGTAGCATGGAGGGCGAAAAGGCAGAAGAATTTTAGCCTGGGATCCATCTCTGGATATATATCCCAGAATTTACATGCAACACTCTCACATGTGGATGCCTGGTAAGAAGACACTGGATAAATTTCCTTTTTTAAAAATCTTATAAATTACAGGTAAGTGTATAATCCATATACAGCCTCTTAACACCATTATCATCACTCTGAAGAGATGGGGGGTGTTTAGTATTCTAAAGCCATGGCGACAGTTTTGAGTTCAGGGACTTTTCCAAGAATTCTACTTCATTGAAATCATAGAAGTATTTTAATATGGAAATTTTATTTCCTTCTGTTTCCATTTTGGCTAAAACGAGGAGCCCTCCTTCTCTTAAGCACTTCAATCTAACACCCTTGGAGAGTAGGATGGTGCCTCTCGGAGAGGATCTTTGTTACTCCTCAGCTCTGGAGGAAAGGGGGATGCGCTTGGAACCTTGCAGCATTGATTTCCGAGAACAGTCTTGCATTCCAAGTCAAAGCACCGGCTTGGTAATAGCAGTTTCAAACCGCCTTTTTCTTTATCACTGAAGAAATAAATTTCCATACTAAGAATATGCCATTATTTATGCTAATTTAATCATTTGCTAGAGAAAAAATTACCTTAAATGTAATTTTACTTTGGAACAGACAGAAATAAATACCAGGAAGCCACAGAGTAAACTATTACATAGAAATGGAAAAGTCTGAGGAAGCTGGAAGGAGAAAAATAAAGAGCTGCCTGAGCTCATAGTTCACCAGCACAGCCAGTGGTTCCCTTTCTCGTCACCACTCCTCCATGCCTTTGAAGGTCACACTGCTTGTGAATTCGAATAATACAGATATAAATTTCTGAACTAGTTTCTCTAACAAACATCTACTTTCTTGTGTAACAAATTGTTCACACATACATTGGGAATAAGCCACGTTTTGAATTGATACAGCCATAGGCGCTTATTCCGTATCTATCATTTGTCAGGCACCACCGGGCCATCGTGGTGGGTGACACTGTCTCTGTCCTCACTGAGTTAGAAGTCAATGGGAAGACATTGCTATCGACTGAATAATTAAGTAAATGACTACAAGTGTGTAAAATGCTACAAAGGAGAAGTTATTAAGGAATGAGAGTCAATGAAATATTCTTCTGGAATAGTAGGAAAATGTCTCAGAAGTATTTTGTATATAGAGGAGGGAGGGAGAGAGCCATATTCCTAATACTGTGATTAAAGGATTTTTTTCGGTTTGTTTGTTTGTTTGTTTTGGGTACCTTCTTCATCTCATAAATGACAGTGAATTAATGTATATTTAGTTTAACGAGGCTGTTTATAATTTAGAACTGAAAGAGATTTTTGGATTCTTATTTCTACAAGATATAATTAGTTTCTCAAGCTCATTTTCAAAGTACATCTACATGTTTAAATAAATAGCAAAGTTGACCTTGTATCTTTGGTTTATGAAATATCTGTGGCTTAGATCTATGTTCATCAGTATGAACTCATCTTTTAGTATTTCTCTCATTACTTCAGTATTCCAGCCTGAGGCACTTAATTAGGCCAGAAACAGGTGTTTGCTCCTTTACCAATGGCACCAAATTCTGTGCTTAATGGTATGAAATTTCAAAAATGTGCTTGTTTTTGGTACAAGAAAATAATTTTTTGGTATTCTTATTTACCTCACAAAATAATAAATTTGCTGGTAATTGGTTAATCTGGTTGTTTACGACTCATGGTAAAAATGATGTAGGATTCTTTTTTTCTATGTCCTCTTCTCATTTCTCAGTCATTTTTTAAGTACGCCCATTTTAAACAGAATAAACTATACAACTGAGCTTATCTGGGCTTTTGTAAAGCAAGAAATACAACATTACAGAAGCACACCACTGGTAGAACTTCCAGAACTGGAGATTGTGTGAAGCAACAGAGGCACTGAACAGAAAGTAAGATCTGTGATTCTCCCCCTGCAGAGCGTGGTGATGGTGGTCTTCAGCGAAGACAAAAACCGGGATGAACAGCTGAAATACTGGAAGTACTGGCACTCGCGGCAGCACACAGCAAAGCAGAGGGTCCTCGACATCGGTAAGTTGGCCTGGACCTCCCTGCATGGTCTTTGGTAAACTGACACGTTGTCACGGTGCCAGGGAGAGCCCAGCACAGAATTGTAGCCGGGACCCACATTGCTCTTGTGATGTGCCAAACACTATTCTGTGCACTTCTCCTCTGTTACTCCTCTGTTAGTACATTTAGTACAAATCAGCCTGAGAAATCAAAATCAGCCTAAGCTGAGTGCAAAGCACTTTTTGTTCTGTGAAAATCAACTGTCTCTCATATAATAATTGTAATACATTTAGATTTGCAAGGACCATGTCAGTTTCCAAACCATGTTTCCATGCCCTCCTGTGTTTGAGCCTATAGGCAGTCAGGCAGGACAGATGAACTCTTATGCCCCTGTGACGTGAATGACCTCAGGCTCATCTGGCTCTAAGGTACTTGTGAAGGTCGCATGACTAGATAGTGAGTTCTAGTTCTGTAATTCTCCGTCCAGTGTTCCTTTTGCCCCAAAACCCACCTGGTGGAAGTAGTACCAGGTGGTCAGGCAAATGAAATTGTTGAGAGACGTTCCCTGGTAGTCAGGAAGAAATGAATCTGCCGAGTACATTTTCTCCAGTCTGTATTCTCCTAAACATGAGGTCTGTTCCCTAGAGACCTGTAGCCTCTGGATGGGACTCGGGGCCCAGTCAGAAAGGCAGAGCCCATGCCAAGTGGTTCCATGGAGGGATTTCATTGCAAAGGTTGGGAGGGCTGAAGGCACCATGAGGCAATGCAGAGATGAGCAACAGCAGGAATCTGCTGCTGTTACTTGTAGAGCTGAGATCAAAGGGAGGAGGTGAGGGCTAATGGGGGAGCCACCCAGCGGGAGCTGGAACCACGGTGGGGGCTGCCTCAGCAGAAGCTGGGACCACCGCGGAAGCAGCCTTCCCAGAGGAGGTAGACTCACAGAGGAATCGCTGCCAGAGACGCTTCTCAACGCCAGGAGGGAGGAGAAGGAGTGCCCTGGCTTCTCCCTATCTCTCACTCTCCCACCAGTGCTTCTGACTGGCCAAATTGACCCTGAAGCCAGGGGGCACAGGACCCTAGCAAATGCAGTTTGCAGGAATCAACCTCTGAGACACAGAGCAAAGCAGGGGATATCAGAGAATGGATCTTAAAATTTCTAGAAATTACTTAAAAACACAGACAGTAATACATACATTTCTAAGTAATTTTAATACTTTACATGCTGTTTCCGTAAGCAATAAGGAATTTCTCGTTTATTGGCTTTATTACCCCATTTTGCAGACCAAGAGGCTGCAGTCCCAGTTAGTGCAGGCAAAGTGAAGGTTCCCATCATGTTGAGTGTCAGATGGTATTACTGAGCCATTAAAAGGATGTTTGCTGGGGCTGGCCTGGTGGGGTAGTGGTTAAGTTCACGTGCTCCTCTTCGGGGGCCCGGGGTTCGCAGATTCAGATCCCGGGCACAGGCATACGCAAAGCTTATCAAACCATGCTGTGGTAGGCGTCCCACAAGTAAAGTAGAGGGAGATGGGCACAGCTGTTAGCTGAGGGAAAGTCTTCCTTAGGAAAAAGAGGAGGATTGGCAATGGATGTTAGCTCAGGGCTAATCTTCCTCACACAAAAAAAGGATGTTTGCTTTGATTTCTTACACACTGCAATGATGGATTTTTCAGACCTTCCACCTCATCCTTGCTAGAACCCCTTGACCAGTGGCAGAGAGGTTGGTGACTAGGTCAGGGTTAGAGACTCACCACAGAACATATTGAAACTAATTACTGGTTTATCCTGCAAAATGATTATGCCACTCTTTACCTACACCACACGTACACACGCACACACACATGTTCTATTAACTAGTCAAACATATTTATCTACTAAACAAGGAAATTAAGGCCTAGAGAGCCTCACTGACCCCAGTGACCTGTCCTCAGATAACTAGTGTAAGAGCTGGGGTGAGAACAGTCTTCCTCACCCCGGCCAGACAGTGAGCCTCCGAGACCAGCTGACTAGGACAAGGGGTTTGGGAATGCTTGTCTTAACCTGCCTTGTAGCCAATCTGCATAGAGTAGAGGAACAATTTTATTTTATCTGAAAAGGTAACCTTATAATTATTACCCAAGAAAATGAGAGGAGTAATTAGATAGAAATATGGACTAGGTCCAAATAAGGCAAATACTAAAAGCATTTTACTGACATACCTGTTGGGTCAACTTTGATATTGTTACAAGGTTTACTTTCCTTAGAGCAGAAAGATTTCTCAGATCTCATAGGACTTCAAATCTTATCTCTCTTCTTCATCACCTCCTGCCTGCCTTCACACTTCACTCACATAACCCTATACGCATGTGCATGTGTGCACACACTCACATATGCTTTATCTTTGAGATTCGTGACTTTTAATAAGTGGCGTTATGTTTTTCGTTCAGCATCCTCTCCACACTCATGCTCAAGGATTGCTCTGTAGCCTCTTGTACATGGTAATAATAAGGCCTGACGAACATTCTGTCTTTCCTCGCATAAATTTGTCTCACTTGGACTAGACTGTCCATTGTTCTTTGAGGCTGCTCCTCATCTTCCACATACTCTTCATCCTCTGAGTAGCCCCTCAGTGCTGGTTGCCTAATGGTAAGAGGACCCTCGGTGTCCCCGATGAGTCCTGTCTGTGGGAGCCTGAGGGCCCAGGGCCCAGGAAGGAGGCTGCTCCTCAGAGCACGTGGAGCCTCAGCTCCCAACCTTGTGCCCTGAGTGGAGTTCCTGGTGAGGCCGTTCCTGCATCACATCACGCACATCTCTCCTTGGCCAAATGCTTGCACCTGCATGGCTTGTTCCCTCACTTCTTTCAGGCCTCGACTTCTTGTCATCTTATCAGAGAGACCTTCCCTATCACCTTACCTAAACGCCACACCCTCGTCACTCTCCAGATCCCTTCCTCTATCACCACCCAGCATGTTATTCATGTATATGTTGCTATTTCTTATTGTTTTTTCCCTTCTGCTAGAAGGTAAGCCTCATGAGGGCAGACACTTGAATGTTTTGTTTCCTGCTCTAGTCCCAATGCTTAGCACAGGGCCTGAGATGTAGTGAGCATTCAATAAATATAAATATTTCCTGAATGAATGAATGAACGAATTAACAAATGTGTGGATGAAACTCTTATTACACTGGCAGAAGGCAGGCATCTCGAAGGAGTGAACCGTGTCTTAATAACAGCTCCCATGTGTTCGTTGCCTTCTATGTACCAGGCTCTTTCTATACGCCATACACAAACATTTCATCCTCAAAACAACTCATTTTGTTGTTTATAAACTAAGATAGTGAGGGATTAAGAATTTTACCCAAGGTCACACACCTGGTAAGTGGCGTAGGTGGGATGGGAACCCAAGAAGCCAGAGTTTGCAGCCCTTGTTTTTCATTCTTCTGTGTCCTCCCTCCACTGTGTATCATCTTCGTATCTCAACCCCTAGATAGTTCTTAGCCCCACCGGGCGCTGATTCATGTGAAGTGATGGGGGACATTCATTACTGACCTTGCGCAGACCTTGCTCCTCCCTGTGCCCCTTCCTCTCCAGACATGAAGAACGTTTCGCAGTCTGGGTGGTGAGACTCTTGGCTGCTGCTAGTTCTGACGTTTCTGAGAGCCAGTTCAGATATGCACTTCTTGTCCCTTAGGCCATAAACTATTTTTTGGGGAAAGGAAACGTTAGCAATTAGCTCTTACTTGATATAAGTAAAACAAGCCAACCCTGGCCCAAGTGGATTCTGCTGTGTTTCAAAGCACAAGAGCCAGTTGCCCAAGTCTCACAAGTTCCTTCTTGTGAGCTTGTTGAAAAACAACAATTATTCCAGGTCATAAATAAGTTTACGTTCTGCAGCCCAAGGAGCATTCCTGTGCCAATTCTACCTTCTGTTTGAAATAGCCACTTAGATTGTATCTGTCGTTTGCTTATCTCTGAGTGTGAAAGCCCCTTTATACCGGGACATGGAGTTAGCGTTGATCCCTATTAGTTACCACCAGCTTGTGGAAAGGCATAGTTATTCCACACTCATTCAGCAAACATGCCAGACCCTTTGTTAGAAACTGGCGAGTCAGAGGTAATTGAGGCAGAGCCCCTGTGCTCCAACTGTTCAAGTCTGGAGGCAAGAAGACGAAAGGCTAAGATAACACAGCTGAGTGGCAGCTAAGAGGAGGGCTTCCTGGAGGAGAGGTTTCTGAGACCCTCGGAAAGGATAACAAGAACATATGGGTCAAAAAGCTGGGCGAGGGTGCTGCAAGCCAAGGAAACAGCATGTGCTCGGGTACAGGAATCAAGACAGAGAAACCAAAACGAGATTGACAAATTATTTTATAAAGTCCAATAAAGCTGTTAGCAAAGATGGGAGGGGTGGAAACTCGCATACATGCTGGCTGGAGCGTTAACTGATTCGACAAGTACAGAGTCAGGGAAGGAAGGAAGCGCTGAGTCAACAGGGTTGAGAAAATGAGAGAAGTGTTTGGTAGTTGAGGAAAGGATCATTTTTTAAGGGGAATCTTAAGGTGACAGGGACATGAAGCATAGATGGCATTTGCTGGTCTCAGCTCTCAAAGGAGCCCTGGGTAAAGCTGTTTCCACGCCACACGCACTGAAGCTCCAGGTCCCTGGTGGAGGCTGATCAGGCCCAGCAGGGTATCTAAGGGTCCCCAGGCCTGAAGGTTCCAGGTGTTAGAGGGCTGTTGCCTCTTGCCACCCATGTCCTGGTGGCAAAGCTCAGAGCTGCAGGTGGAATGTTAGGGAATGTTCTCCCAGGGTCTTTGCAGAGGAACACCACCACACCAGATGTCGAGGGTAATTCAGCTCAGAGTTTCTTGCCCTCTGCCGCTCTAACACTGCTTGGCTCCATCAAGTCTTATTTTGCAGTTTTGTTGGGGAGATATTCAAATGTGTGTGTGTGTTTATACTTTTTTTATATTAAAGTGTAACATGCGTATCTTGTTTTTAGCTAATCCATGTTTTTCTATTGTTGAATGGAGTAGATTTTAGAGATCCA